TAGCCGCAGAGGATCTTTCCGCAAAAGCTAATTGTAACCACTCAGTGGGACCCCACAGAGGAGTGCCCATCCTCTCAGAGAAAGTGTTATTTTACCCATCTCTGCCAATACTAAAGACAACCAAATACAACAGCTTCCAAGTGGTCGATTTAGGCAGAGATTTAAGGTTGGCTCAATTTCTCAGGTTCCCCATCCAGAAAATGAGTTAAATGCTTCACGCACTTTAAAAACCACTCCCAACTGGAATGTTCTACGTGCATTTGTAAAGGATGGAGATTGTGGAATCAAGCTGAAAGAAGGGAGGATAACAGTGATAGAGGACAAAGGAGTGAGGTAAAAATCATGACACCAAGAGGGGATTTTCCCTGGGAGTGCCTCCAAGGCCACAAGCAGTTGGGGCAAAGATGGTGTGACAAAGAGAGGTTAACAGCTCTGCTTAGCTGTCTGTATTCTTCCTATTCTAGTTTTCCTCTTTGTACCACAGATTTCAATGTGTGAGGAAATTGAATTTATTGATGTACCCAGTAAATGACTAAACCCATTTGTCTGGGAAGCTATTGATATCCACAGTCATGGCAGAATGGTGTGTCCTTCTTCTGTGCTCCCATTGAGCTTTGTTGAGTAGAAGGAAAAGCCCTTTTCAGTCCTCCATTTTTTTTATTTTTTTTTTAAAGATTATTTATTTATTTATTTATTTAACAGAGAGAGACAGAGTGAGAGAGGGAACACAAGCAGGGGGAGTGGGAGAGGGAGAAGCAGGCTTCCCTGCAGAGCAAGGAGCCCAATGCGGGGCTCGATCCCAGGACCCTGGGATCATGACCTGAGCCAAAGGCAGACGCTTAACGACTGAGCCACCCAGGCGCCCCTCAGTCCTCCATTTTAATGCAACAAACTATGTCTGTTCTCAACAAAATGTGGGCTTCTGAAGTCCCATCTGACAGCTGAGCTGTGCCTGAGTGGCCCCCTCTCTGAGTGGCAGGGAAGGTACCAGCGTGACAGCGAGATCTGCATGTGGCCAGTAGATGAGCTCCCTTCTATGCATGGCCACCCCAGGGGATCCAAGGATGAGGACTGGGGTACACTTGTTATCACTGGTGCCTGCCCTTTGAAGCAGGCTGCCTTCCTGCACAGAAGATGCATGAAGACAGAGTGACTGGATCCACTCTTTAGAATAGAGTCAATCTATTCCCAGCCAGGTCACAACATCGGGAGGCATGAGCAATATTATAGAACATCCATATGGGCATTGCATAGTACCTGAGGTGAAACAAATAAGCACCTAAATGTATGTATTATCTTTGCAGTGGATGTAGATACTCCTGTACTGAATAAAACGAATAGTCATTTAAAATCTTTAATCACAACTATGTAACTTAAAAAATATAAATGGATAAAGTATTATGAGTATAATTATGAAAATGTGAGAATTTAGGATGTATATATGTATACATTCATATATACGTGTGTGTGTGTGTGTAAAGTTTATGTTAGCAAGTTGTTTGTTTTATTTTGTCATAAAACATGTGAAGAGTATTCTAAAATTTGTCAAATGTGGGGATACCTGGGTGGCTCAGTCGGTTAAGCCTCTGCCTTAGGCTCAGGTCATGATCCCAGAGTCCCAGGATCAAGCCCTGCATCGGGCTCCCTTCACCCACTCATGCTCTCTCTCTCACTCTCGCTCTCTCAAATAAATAAATAAAATCTTCTAAAAAAAGAACAAATAAAAAAATAAAATTTGTCACATGTGAAATTGAGAGCATTCTATAAACAAGTAAAATGCCTAAAATGGTATATATGTCTGCAACATAGTGAGGTAAAAGACAGTGAGTGAAGGAACGCATATAATGTGTTAAGTACATTGTCTGCCAATTGTGTTTGATGAATTTCCATTATCGTTAGCAGTAGCACTTATGGATAAGTAAAGAAATGGGAAAAGTATGTATTTGCATGTGCTTATATAAACTAGCTAATAAGTGACGACCATTTCCAGACTAAAGTGAAGCAGAGTTGGATATTTCCTCCTCTTGGTCCCGTAACACTGCACATTCTTTGTTGTACCACATCCCATTCTATTGTGATCATTTACTTATAGGGCTCTCCTTCCCATTAGACCATATGAGCTTTGATAGAAAGAACTATATCCTATTATCTTTGCATCCCTAACACATAGTGATACCCAGCACAAGTATGAGCTGGATACATTTTTAAGGCATGCAAAATAAAATCTCATATATGTCCTAGAAGTAATATGCAGAGGGGGAGTTTACAGGCATAATGGTTCCTAGGGTTAGCCAATTTATATGCGAAGAGTTACAAGACAGTGTAGAAAGAAACAATTGATTTTGAAATGGTAGGGAAAGTGACCCTTTATGGGGGGGAGAAGGATTCTTTAATCTCTTAAAATGAAATCTAACAATATTACTTGTGATATTAGAAATAACATTCATATTGTGCTTTATGTTTTATAGAACTCTTTCATAAGAATGATGCAATATGAGAATCATTAATTTTTCTTATTTTGCACATTAGGAAACTAAGTCTTAATAAAACCTGTTTGATTTGATTAAGGTCATAAAACTAGAAATGGCAGAATTGGTAATCAAACTCAGATCTTGTAACTTTAAGACCAATGGTCTCCAACAAGATGTGGAATATATCAAGCATTATGGGACACTTATCAGTTATCCTAGGGATGATCATGGCCTAGAATGACTAGGGCTGAACTTCATCTAGAAAATTCCGTAACAACTTAGATGACCATTAAATGAAATGAAATTATGGCAAAGTTGTGTGTGTGTGTGTGTTGTGTGTATGCATTTTCTTATTTTTTATTTTTTTTATTTTTACTTTTTTTATTTTTTTTTATTGAGAGAGAGAGAATGGTAGAGAAAGAGCATGAGAGGGAAGAAGGTCAGAGGGAGAAGCAGACTCCCTGCAGAGCAGGGAGCCCGATGCGGGACTCGATCCCGGGACTCCAGGATCATGACCTGAGCCGAAGGCAGTCGCTTAACCAACTGAGCCACCCAGGCGCCCTGTATGCATTTTTTTAAAGATTTTATTTATTTATTTGAAAGAGTGAGTGAGAGAGAGAGCACAAGTAGGGGGAGGAGCAGAGGGAAAGGGAGAAGCTTCCCACAGAGCAGGGAGCCTAATGTGGGGGTGGATCCCAGGACTCCGGGATCATGACCTGAGCGGAAGGCAGACACTTAACCAACTGAGCCACCCAGGCCGCCCCTGTATTTTGTTTTTAATATTCCACTTATCAGACCTATTATGGGTATAGAGTGTTACTCTGAGCTTATAAATAGGAAGGCTCAAATGAGTTTAAGTGTCTTTTTTTTTTTTAAGATTTATTTATTTATTTATTTGCAAAAGAGAGAAAGAGAGAGAGAGATTGGGAGGAGAGGCAGAGGGAGAGAATTTTCAAGCAGACTCCTGGCTGAGCTCAGAGCCAGACATGGGGCTTGATCTCAAGACCCATGAGATCATGACCCGAGCTGAAACCAAGAGTCTGATGCTCAACTGAATGAGCCACCCAGGCACCCCATGATTTTTAGTGTCTCATTTCTTAAGGTAAATTATGGCAATTATACCAATTGGCAAATAAAATTTCAAGAAATGGCTTCCGGGGTCCCTGGCTGACTCAATTGGTAGAGCATGTGACTCTTGATTTCAGGGTCATGAGTTCAAGCCCCACATTGGGCCTAGGGCTTACTTAAGGAAAAAAAAAAAGAAAGAGAGAAAGAGAGAAAGAAAGAGAGAAAGAAAGAAAGAAATGGCTTCAAACAAACTAACTGATGGGCCAGTTTATATGTATTAAAGTTGCCACAGCCTTGTTCAAAAGAGAGCTTTGTTATGCTAGCACTTACCCAAAACTCAGGACTAGAAGAAAATTTAATTATTTATTCCTAGATAGTGCCGATAAAACTAAATGTAATTAAATGCCACTGTTCTTTAAAAGAATTATAAACATAACTGAACTCCATATTTAACTAAAATAGAGATGTTAGTTAAACAAACAGACCCAGAGCCCTGGTTCTCTTACGCGTTCTCTCTAATTATGTTCAGTCTTGTAACCCAGAGATTTCCACATGGTCTCCATTTCATGTACTCAGTAGATTGTATCTTCACAGAAAATTTAAGAGTTTTCTGACTGACAAAATAAAGTAGGCTGGCAGTTGAAAAGAAAGTCACGTCTGGCTTCTGACAGGATTTCAGCATTAGAAGAGTCTCTCCCACCTTTGTATAAATGCCAGGCCTCAAAAAGCCATTCAACCTCTTTTTCTCTCTCTCTCTTTTTTTTCCTGACTGCACTGAGACAAGCCAGCACTATAAAAGTATGGCGGGGGGGGGGGGAATGGGTCAAATTACACACAATAGCAGTGAGACTCACTTTCACCAACATCAGCCAAAGGTGTGCACTAACAACAAAGCATCACCTAATAGGAGTTAAGAGCAATGATTCAAGACACGAGTCACTGAAGAGCAAGGTTAGGTTGGGTGGGTTTTATATAACGAATGTGGAAGCATATGGGCCAAATGACAATTTTTGGCTCATAAATATATGCAGGAAACTTGAACAATGAAGTGTACCATGGGGAGCAAATTAATCCAAAAATGGCCTAATTCTTAAACTATTTGTGTAAAGAAATTTTATAAAGACACTTAAAAGACTTTAAGAAATAATGAATTAATTCAAGAAAAAGGAGATGAACAATATTGTTTCTAAAGGATGGAATTACAATAAGAGAAAGAACATGTTGATAATCATATGTGCATTTGTAATTCATTTACTTGGAACAATACAGCTTCCCTTATTAATGAATTTATTAGTTTTTGGTTTCCCTCTCCCATCAGCGTATCTGAGAATACTGAACCATGAGTCTAGAACATTCCCCCCATAGAAAGTCCAAAAATTGAATGTAAAACTTCCTTTATAAGGTATTTTGTCATTAAAAACCCAATAGCAACAATATAAACAAGTTGATGATAGCTCTTACCATCTCCTGGGTCAACAATCTCCACCGTGGTCACCGCAGGGAATTCCAGAGCAGCCAGCACGGGCTCTGAGAGAACCACCTGGAAGGTCTCCGACTGTTCGTGCTCCCCATCACTCATGATCCGCACTCTCCAGGTGGCCCTGATCTGGCCTGGGTTGAACTGCACTTGTTTCTGTGCTTTGCCCTTGAAGTCTTTGTCTTTTTCTGCAGTCCCATCTCTTGTGCCAATACCTTCACAAAAACATGGTATCATTTTCTTAGTTTCACTTTCAATTGGTTTATTAAGGTTTTTCTTGTTGTTAACTTTTTGTGTGTTACTTCATCCTGCATGTTACTAGATCCAGGTTTGATTCCACAAAATGGACGGTTGGGTATGGGTCCCACAGTGAAAGTGTTCTCCTATAGGTGTTGGTTGGTTCATGATTCTGTTCTATTCTGACCTCATGATGGTTTTCCTGTATATTCCTTGAGCTATGTTTGTGTTAGATGGAACCTCTTATAAAGCAAGACCCAGTAAATTGATATTCATGTTGTGAATATTCTTAACTCCTACAAATTCATTCAGTCTAAAAACTCTTCACATTTGCTTCTGCATGTATTATATTGCACATGTTATATGATAAAAACATAAAAAAGTTCTCTAACTAGAAAATATAAACCAAAAAGAAACTCGTGAGTCAAGAATTCTTTGATAATCAAAGTTGTAAATGGTTAAGCATAATAAAGAATTACAATGTTCTCTACACATTTACTAGAATGAGGACCCTTAAAAGAATCTAATTCAGTGATTGTCAACAGGACCACATCCAGGTTTTTTCTGGTGGAATACTTCAGAATTCCATGAAACCATGTGAACAGAACTGGAGAGCTAAATATATAAGGTTATTATGAGCAGTGTGTTTGGTTTACTCTGATGGTTCACTCAAGGTCAACTGCAGTGAGCTGAGGAGGTTGAAGGATCTCTGAGTCTTTCACGACATTACAAGAGGATCTTTACCATTACTATACCATGTACTCAAATCATAGATTATCTATAAATAGTCAACAGTCAACAAATCCAATGTCATAGAAAAATTATAAAATTGCAGTAGTGCTCATACTAGTATATATCCTTAAGTACTAAATCAGAACCTCTTAGTGAGTCGAGTTAATAGAATAATTTTCAAATATATTTCTTTAAACATTGGCATTTTGAGAGAACTTGGTAGGAAAGACAGACTTAAAAAGGGAAAAATAAAATCTTGTGACTATTAGAATTAAAAGTCTGAAAAATAAAGTCTTTGTAACATTTCTTATTTAATTGAAACAATTTTCTTCTTAGAGAGTGGTGCTTATGTAAGATTAATGTGACTATTTCTTCATCTGAATACATTACTGTTAGTCTCATCTTAAAATGAAGATGAAAATATTTCATTAAAATATTTTTGTTTTATAGATCTCAGAAAAAATATAAATATTGCATTTTTTTCAATAGTAGGTAAAACATCTCTTTTAATGTCAGGAGGAAAAAGGGTACAGAACTAGGAATCCCAGCACTACATATTTTGTTGAATGTTGCAGACTTCCTGTTGGCTCTCTGGTTCCTAGGGCACACAGACAGGTTGTCAACACCTCTTGGGTCCACCATGATTCACTGCCAAGGTGATGATGAAAGGAATCATTCTCTGAGGTTCCAGCACACATGCTGCTCATTGACCCATCTATCCCCAGTGGCATGGGCCAGCAAAGAATCTATTATTTGGTCTCTGATAACTACTGCCCACTTTTCTGTTTTGCTTTGTTTCACCAACAATGCATTATTTTCCTAGAGATTCAAAAGGCAGTTAAAAACAAAAAAGGAATGAGTATAATACAAGGAATGTCCACTAGTTCCAACTAGTCGTCCTTACTAAGTGATAATCAAGTTACCCAATCTAATAAAACATACTGTAATACCAAATCTCATTGTTGCTGCTCAAAACACATATAATTTTTTGGGTGGATTTTATAAAATATTCCCAATTGAATGTTGGATGTAAATTATAAATAGGCAGTATTGTTGATTCTCCAAGCAAAGAGGAATGGACTTCTATTTTTTTTTTTTTTTAAAGATTTTATTTAGGGACACCTGGGTGGCTCAGTGGGTTAAGCATCTGCTTTCGGCTCAGGTCATGATCCCAGGGTCCTGGAATTGAGCCTCGCATCAGGCCCCTTGCTCAGCAGGGTGCCTGCTTCTCTGCCTGCCACTCCCCCAGCTAGTGCTCTCTGTCTCTCTCCCTCGTCTTTCTCTGACGAAAAAAAAAACAACAACAAACAAGCCTTAAAAAAAGATTTTATGTATTTATTTGAGAGGGGAGAGAGAGAGAGAGAGAGAGCATGAGCACAGGAGGGAGTGGCAGAGGGACAAGCGAACTCCCCGTTGAGCAGGGAGCCTGATGCGGGGCTCGATCCCAAGACCCTGGGATCACGATCTGAGCTGAAGGCAGATGCTTAATCAACTGAAAAACTGTGTTTTGTGTTGTCTGTGTCTTTTGTACTTTTGCATTTATTCTCTTTTCTCAAGCCACAAGCTATTTTTTTTCTTTTTTTAAGATGTTATTTTTTTAAGTAATCTCTACACCCAATATGGGGCTCAAACTCACAAACCCAAGATCAAGAGTCACACGCTCTTCCAACTGAGCCATCCAGGTGCCCCTTTATTTTGTGGAAAAAAAATTGTGGTCTTAAACTGTTGATATGCTTCTCAAACATGAGATAAAACTAAGAAGGACAGGTTATATTTTTAGAAAGTAAAATAAGACTTAGATGAAATACTAAACTTGCTTTGGATCAAAAATAAAGATTTCCTTTTTATAATTAACATGCAGTACCTATTCTGAGTGTAGTGCTAATCTTGTTACTTAACAGTGTGATCCATGGATCAGCAGCATAAGAAACATCTGAGAGCTTGTTAGAAATGCAGAATTTCAGGCTCTACTCCAGACTCCCTGAATCAGAATCGACACTTTAGCAAGATCCAGGTAAATCTTAGGTGCATTAAAATTTGAGGGTAGATAGACACACACTACTTTATATCTCCATAGGACCCTTTATATAGGTGCGCATTTAATAAAGAATGAAGAAATGGCCTATAGACTGTGAAGAACACAGATGAGTCCACATTTTAATCTAATGTGGTAGATGAGACAAGTCAAGTACACACAATGCTCAACAAATGCTCTTTCTTGGAGATACAGATATTCAGCTGGTAAACCATATATATTATAAATAACATTAGATTGGGCAAAAAGAATTCTGGAAATCAAAAAGCTTACAAATTGGGCTTAAATATATGCTTTTATTTTTCAAAGAGAATTCATTATTAAACAAACCATATTACTTCGATTTACTAAGCGAAACCACAATTGCATCTTTTCCTCTGGCATACAAAAATGGCATGGAGGTCAAGCAAAGTACTTTTGGAATGAGAGAGCAGATTTCATACCCTACCTCGACCACATAGCAGCAATGGGATCATAGGCAGGTTATGAATCTCCTCAGTTGTGGAGGATTTAAGAAGCAGCAGGGTGTGATAGTTCAGAAAGTTAGCCGTGGGGCCAAATCTCGGCTCTGCCCTTTAGCAGCTTTGGGCATATGACAACTTTTCTGTTTCTTTAACCTGCATAACGGGGGCTATCATGACATTCCTTTTATGGGGTTGACTATGTAAGGTATTGGGCACTAGGGCTGGCACATCATAAGAACTCAATAAAATTTTAGCTATTATTGCCCGCTCATAGTCCATTATGTTACACGGTGTCTGGCACTGAGTAAGCGCTCTAGAAAATTAGGTTGAGTTAGTGAGTAAAGTAAGTTGTAAGGAGTAAAAGACAAAGGTGAAGTACCTAATGTGCTTAATGAAGTATCTATTTTTTAGTAAATGCTTGATAACCAGTAGCAATAAGACCTTTGGAATTCAAATACCTTTATAAAATGCACAGACATATATAATTTATTAATGTGTTATATTGGTTATAAAATGAATCATCATCTCCGAGAAAACACCTATATAGATTTCATGTAATTCATGATTTACTAACTGTGCTCCTGAACGTAGTGATAGGCTGCCTTTAGGTATCATGCAAACTATCTAATTCTAAAAGTTCGTAAGTGAAAGTGCAGGTTTTAGGAAACAGGAACATGAAACACATTCATTGTAGAACTTCTTGGAGGCTACCCTCCTCTTTAATCTGACTTCCATTCTCTGTCCCAGCTTGAATGCTATTGACATCTTCAGTGATTGATGGGTGTGGGCCACACACGCAAGTCTTGCCAACTTCCTATCTCCCCAGGTTACTAAGTAACATGTGAGGTTAACCAAGTAGAGCTAAAGAACCTTTACAGAATGGCTGGTGCTCATCTCAACACAGAGGAAATAACAGTTCGTGGAAAAAATAACGTCAGGAGAAAAAAAAGGGCTCTTGTTTGACATTTTAGGATTCCGCTTTAAAAAAGAAAATGAAGGTGGGGCGCCTGGGTGGCTCAGTTGTTAAGCGTCTGCCTTCGGCTTAGGTCATGATCCCAGGGTCCTGGGATCCAGCAGGCTTTGGGTGCCCTGCTCGGCGGGAAGCCTGCTTCTCCCTCTCCCACTCCCCCTGCTTGTGTTCCCTCTCTCTCTCTCTCTCGCTGTCTCTCTCTGTCAAATAAAGAAAATCTTAAAAAAAAAAATGAAGAGAAGAATGTGAAAAGATAGTTTTAAAAATATCTTTCCACTAGTAACTTTCCCATGACTTTCAGGGGACTCTGTGTAAGTGAGTAAACTGAACATACCCACCAGGAATTCAGGCAAAATGCAAACAGATGAAGGCATCCTTAAGAACTGCTAAGGTTCTCTGTTTTTTCAGTGTTATTTCCCCCCATATTTTCAAGCACAAAGAACACTGAAGGCTCATCACTCACTGACAATAAGTAAAACAGGATCAGATTCCTGATCTGCAGAGCACGCGTATGTGTGCAGAGAAAACATGTTTCTAGAGAGAGAGCAGTAAGAGCATTCACAATGCTTTTGAGGGTTTGACACAGAGTGGAAATGACAGCTGAGAAGAGGTACATGTGAACAAAGATGGAAGCAGGGCTGTCCTGACTGCAGGAGGTCTGCAGGTGGATCAGCGCCCCTGGAGCAAACTAACCTTAAGGGATCAGCAGAGCATAGTGTGGAAATCTCTCCTCTACAGTTAACTTTAAAAATAAGGGGTAATTAATATCCGGCATCCAAAGGTCAGAAGGAACAAGGTGGGGGGCGGGGACTGCGGCTGTGGCTCAAGTATGGTGTATGCTATGTGTGTATACGTGTGTGTACGTGGGTGAATAGGGATCTACTCTTTAAGGCTTTTGAATTTCACGGGCCAGTAAAATTTCAAATAATTGTTTTCCAGACTAACACAGGATTGCCCAGTTTTAGTTTTTTTATTGCCAACATTTTCCTAGATTCCTACCTTAACTGCACTCTCAGTAAATGAAAGCTCCTTTACCTCGAGAAAATTCTATCAGCCTAGATGTCTATAAAACATACGGTACCAAAAATAATATATTGCTTGGGGTGCTGTCATTTTTCATCAATATGCCAATTTTTTTGTGCCAACTGTATTATTGCTTAAAATTACCAATATACCTACTCTTCTCTATTTTGTGCCTGCATGAAATCGAATGTGAAAACTTGAATTGGGCTTGTAAAAAAAGCTTTATTCTTTGCTTTTGACTCCGTTTTATTTAAAAGTTACGTAAAATAGCAGAAAATGACTAGTATTTAGTATCTTACTGTTGGTCCTGAAGTCACAATGTACATCTTTTATGTAGTGCTTTTATGTAAACTTTTCTTTACCGAGCAAAGCACTCCAGTACAACAAATAGTAAATTACCTCAAGTAAATTACACCTCAACGCCTAATAGGTTACTGAATGGTTTTTCACTTACTTATTAAAGTGGCCCTCATATAGATTTTATACTGACATTTCTGCAGATTTTTATCTTATGGTTAAATTACAGATTAGCCTAAGCCTCTCCTAAGGGCCAGTGACATTTACAGTTTTTTAACTTATGAGCGATTACTGCCATTTTTGTATGGTTATTTACATCAGAGAAAGATCATATGTAGGTAGAAGGTTTGGAGAGGTATGTTAATTGGTTACACATTTCCTATTTTTGCAGCCTTTTGTCTCTATGATTTAGCCTTGACATGAAACTCTTGGCATATTTCTTTAAATGTCAACATCTCCCTAAACTTTAAAACTAGAGCAGTAAACGGAACATATTTTAATCATTGTAAAATTATGAACTTTTGCTAGAAAAAAGGGGATTTTTTGACAGAAGTACAAATTAAACTTACTTATAAATGAAGTCTCTCCCAAGTAACCTCTACGTTTAAGAACAACATCTAGAAATTTGGAGTCCTCATTGATCAGGTAATATTCCTTTTCAAAGGAGATCCATGCCCAATTCAGACGAAAATGCTGCTTGGTTAATTTGTTTCCACCTGGAAAACAAAAATTTAAAGCCCTAAATCAGTGCTTTCTTGAATGAATGACCTTAAAAATTCCACAGATGACTTTACTGATGCAACATTAAGAATCGCTATAGTTACTTGGTTTGACACGCAACTCCAGAATACATACCAGGAGATACAGCTTACTGTTCAGCGACTGTCATACAAAAATACAACAGCTGATATAATCCTTCACAAAATCCCTTGATGTTTAGAAGGCAAAGTGGGTAGTGGGGAAGGAGCACACAACTACCAGAAGCGATTTCCTTTAAACACAATCAAGAATCCGAGTTGCAGGATGACCTACTTTCCACAAGGTGCCGCCGGAGAGCAAGTTTTTCTATTAAAGAAGGCTGCAAGGCTCATTTGTGATGTTAAAAACACACTTCACCAATACCTTTTTCTGGTTCACCGAGCAACTGGGGGGAAGGCTTTAATTATAACCACTTAAGAAAAAACAAATATCCCTTCTCCGCCTCCCTTTCCCACTATACTCCACTTCATTCCGTAGAGCAAACAGCTCTTTTCATTGATTCCATTCTACTCTCAAGATAAGGCTCTCTCCTCCCACCTCCCCACCAAAATGGAGCTGGCTGCCTATCAGGAGAAACCGAGCTGTGTGTGATCTCTCTAATGTGAAAGCTCTGAGGCTAGGAAAATGAAAGGAGAAATGGTTATCAGCTGATCACTCTGCAGTATCCTTCCACTTCCTTTGATCTACACCAATTATTTCACAGTAAAGTGAGGTTTATAAACAAAGGCACTGGTAATTTCTTTTAAGTCTTTCTGGAAAAGGGTGGGGAAAAGCCCAAATAACAAACACAGCTAGAGGCACCATTTTAATTCTAGTTTCTTCTCTTCTGAGTCCACATAGAGAGAGCTACCCTAGAGAAAAAGAAATGAGACAGGAAAACACCAAAACATTAGAACTTTAATGGCCTGAGGGCAGAAAAAAAAAATCTGCGCAAGGCGAAACGCAGTGAGTGAACAAGCCCATGAAAGAATGTTCATCTTGGCTAGAAATTTTTAAAAATAAAAGTCACAGCGCCTTTGAGTTCTCAAATGACAAGTACCAAGGATGAATGAGAACACCCAGTGCAGCAGAATTATGTAGGGAAATTGGTTTTCTTGTTTATTCTTGTTTAAATTGTAAATTAGCACAAGCCTTTTAGGCAGCTACATGGCAACAGAGACAAAAAGATGTTCGTACCATTTGATCCTGTAAGTCCTTCTGTGGAAGGAATAGTTACAAAATATATTTGTAAGGAATTCTTTGTTGCAATATTTTCTATAATAGGCTCCCAAACCCAAAAAGTTTTTGAGCTTTTGTGGTACATCAAATCAATAAAATATCCAGTCATTAAACAATAAATGTGAAAATTTTGTTGGAATCCTTATTAAGACACATCGAGACACAGGAACAAATGGTATTGATGCCATGAATGAAGTAGTTTGTAAAATGAGGCATTACAAATGTGGCGCTCCTCGGTGTGTTAAATTGACAGGATTATGGACTGTCCCATTTTTAGTTCGTTTTTTAGATAGAAAACATAAATGGACGGAAAGCAGGAAGTTCACGCCACATTTTGTCCTTAGGAATTTTTTATGCCCACCATCTCCTAGACACCCGGTGCTGTTGTGGAGAGGAGAGGCCATGGCGGCGGGTCGCCTCAGCTCTGAAGTCCAAGGCCTACTTCATTTCCCATCTGCTGTCTGACTTGGAGTAAGTTTCTTCCCTACACCTCTGTTTCCTCATCTGGAGAGCCAAAGGACGGGGATATTAATTAATGCCTGCATCCGGAGCGCGAATCTAGTGAGATAAGCCATGTGGGCACGCAGTACAGTGCAGCACGTAGTACAGTGCAGCACGTAGATGGCAGCGTCCTGCAAACGTCAGCTCGGCAGCTCGCTCGCCCCTGCCGCACTGCGCATGCTCAAATCCAGCCCACGTGCCCAGACCGGTGATCCGCCTGAGATCCGCCTGCACTTGGCTTGCCTGGTCTCCCCGCAGCTGCTGCGCGCATCAAGGCAGGCCATCCTTGCGATTTCCAGTGCCATCTTGACCTACCCTGTCTTGTCCCCGTTGCTCTTTGCTCACTCTCCGATCCAGCCAGGAGCCTGCTGCTCCATGGATTTGCTAGCCTCACCCACTCCTCCTGTCACCTCTGTCGTCTGGCCTAAAATGACAGCACGTCATTCTGCTCACATCTCCCACTCCTCACAGGTTCCCTCTACCACCTCCCTCATGAAGCCTCCTGCACAGACTCCAGCCCTCTCCTCTGGGTGTGATTCTGCCCCTGCTCACTTATTCATTACTTTGCAGTTTTGCGCATTAGTGGATATCCTCTCCTATTGCTTAATTGTACAGATTGACTAATTGTACTAAATTGTACTAATTTTTGTTAGAGATTGAGAGTGGCCGTTCATTCTTTTACTAATGCCAACACTTCGTTTTACTGTCTTTAAAAATACCTTTTGAATTATTGTGTTTATGTCCTACTCCTTGGAACATTTCTTCCAGAAAGTAATAGACAAGAAAGACTAGAATAACATTTAATCAGTGGAATTAACACATAAGACGTTTCTAATTTCTCAACTAATTATTCCATGAAAACATTTTTATGCCACACTTCTCATTTAGGCTGTGGCTCCATCAAGTCCTAGATGTTTCTTCAGACTTCTTGTCATGCTAGGCCAAGCCATTGGTTGTCCATCCTAACATCTCCAGCCTCACAGCCCGACGCTGCTATAGGGGAACATCCAGTCACCCCAACTTCTCAGCGTTTTCCGAATAGGGTAGGGGCTCTTGCGTGCGCTAGGTCTTACGCCCCGAATGCCTTTAGCTTTTCTGCTGCTAGGTTAGCATGCTGTGTGTACTTCTCCACTCAGAGTAATTGTAATTCTTTTTTTTTTTTTTAGGATTTTATTTATTTAAGAGAGAGCAAGAGCGAGAGAGAGCTTGAGCAGGAGGCGGGGCAGAGGGAGAAGCAGATTCTCTGCTGAGCAGGGAGCCCCATGCCAGGCTCCCTCTGGGATCACGACCTGAGGCCTGAGCTGATGGCAGATGCTTAACCGACTGAGTCACCCAGGCGCCCAGGAATTGTAATTCTTTATCCAAATGCCTGTGTGTGCTTCACCTAACTGCCTGAGCTCCTCAGGACAGGTGTGGTCAAATTCATCCTAGTCTCCAAGTCCAAAGTAATGTCTGCTACACAAGGAGGACTGAAGAAACCTACGTAGTAAGTATGATTTTTAGGAGTCGAGTGGCTACTTTGTGACTCCTGCTTGTTTCATTCCTTTTTTTCGTAACAGTTTTCAGCTTACACAAACAAAGCACATACTTCAGTTTTGACCTGAGACTAATAATGCCTGACCTCTTCAGTAACTCTTGTGGCTCAACAAATGAATTTTAGTTGATAGTGCTGAATACTTTATTGTTATCTCTTTCCCTTATATCCAAAAAGAGATCACTAAGCACACAGTTTCTCTCTCTAAATTTTGACGCTTTTTAGGTCATTGTAAGATCTGACTCTATCCTTTCCTTGAATATTCCAGAAAATATCACACCTCTAAATATTACATGTTTTAGGAATATGGAGTCAATGAGGCTTTCCCTTGACACTCTTAATAAAACAGCCCCAGTGCAAACTGCAGCAGGCTCTAGGCCCTTTCTTCGGATTCATTTTTCTCCACAGTGCTTTTATAACCTCATACCCTATATAATAGGTTTACTTTTTTGTCTCTTCACTTGTCTCCCTCTTTTGCAACTCATGATCCAGGAGGGCAGGGAGTTCATTTTGCTTAACTGTTATAGAAATGCCTCCTCAATGAATTAGACACTCTACCATCTCTGTTGAAGGAAATTTAGTAGTGCTTCATTTCTCAGGCAATATAAATGTCCTATATAAAGGTAACATAACTCTCTGGGTACTGGGTCTTTTGCTTGAAAAAAAAAAAGTAATTGTTTTTAATAATACCCTTTCTAAAATGTCCTGCATACTTCTATTCTTAAGCACTATGTGAAGGCTTTAAGTGATTACCTATGAATGTAAAGCACTGGGATTTGTGTTTATCTAAATGACACCTGCAGGGGTTATTGATGACTCCAGGCCTTTTTAACCCTTCCCTTCCATTATGAAGTAGCTTGGATGGTCTTAGGAATAGCTAACTTCATCTCTACTTACAAATGTATAAAACATTTTTGGGTTGGTGCTTATATTCTAGAAGGATGAAGGTGCCAGGTTACTGGTTAATCAAGGGTTTCGAGTGACACACAGCTGAACAAGTTTGCCAGGATTTCATATGTCCGCTGCTTTGAAATTTTCCTTGAAATAAAATTCACAGTACCGAGTAACTTCGCTTTGTGAGACCGTGACATGCTCTAGGGTAATTGTTTGAAATGCTTAGCATTCACTCTAAATCTGGGCTTTTTAAGTACATATTTTGCTAGAGAATATGAAGTTAAGTGTATTAAACTTATTGATGAATAAATTAAATGCTACATCACCTCTGATTTAATATACATACGAATCCTGAGTTTTGGAATTTGTAAAATCGAAGGTACTATTTCTCATGCAGGAGCAGTACAGGGATCTGAGGGACTAAGCTGCAGTTTATTGCAATTCTTGTTATTAAAACTGACCTTGCACAATTGAACTCTGTATTTTATCTAAAGAATGAAAAGACATATTATTTATTCATTTATCACATGCCACGTAAACTCTTCTAGAACCTTGATGTGTGGGAATAATAAATGTTAATACTTTGAATAACAATAGCTGCAGCTTCCTGAATGTGAAATTGTAGGTGAAATTAACTTAAGAAATTGACAAATTTTTACTTCAATTTCACTTATTATGCTATTATTTAATTTTATTTTTCTTACTTTTTAAAATTATTTTATTACTTATTTTAGTTTCTAAAGCAGACTGTCATCTGTAGCACCAAGGAGCAAGTCTCAGCGTCTCACTGGAAACAAACTAAAGTCCCTA